AGTCAGGACCTGGCCTGGTGAAGCCCTCACAGTCTCTGTCCCTCACTTGCTCTGTCACCGGTTTCTCCATCACCAACAGTGGTTACTACTGGAGCTGCATCAGGCAGTCCCCAGGTAAGAAGCTGGAGTGGATGGGGAACATAGGTTATAGTGGTGGCACTGGCTACAACCCATCCCTCAAGAGCCGCATCTCCATCACCAGAGACACAGCCAAGAACCAGTTCTTCCTGTGGCTGAACTCTGTGACCACTGAGGACACAGCCACATATTACTGCAAGAGACACAGTGAGGGGACTTCAGCATGAGCCCACACAAAAACCTCCCTGCAGAGGAGCTCTGGGCCAGCAGGGGGCGCTCAGGCCTAAGGAACAGGGGAAGAAAAACACCTGGTTTCCTCTGTCTTTGATTCCCACTCCCCATGCACAGAGAAGACATGGGGTCTTTTCTCTCTCTGATGCTGAAATGCTGTGTTTATGTGAAGTCACATTTGTTTGTGTCTCACTGTGAGTCTCAGGACAGGGTGTACAGTAATATTCTTGTCATTTTGAATGTGTTAGGAGTCTTTACAGGCTGAGCAGTCTCTCTGTGTTGAGGAATGTTTTGATGAAAACAACTTTTTGGAACTCAGCTGATCACACATGGCAATAGTTTTCAAATAAAAATCTGATTTCATTATTTCTCACTCACACACTGCACTCTCAGTGATATCTTTATGTTAGAGCTCATCCTAGCCTGCTCACACAAAGCAGTTGCTGAGATGCCTAGGGAATGAGACACAGTGTGACAAGGGGGTCCACACACCTGCAGATGCATTACCCACCATGCAATGCACAGACGGGATTTCCTGGTGTCACCTTTGTGGGGCTGAGTATAGATAAGAACTCTTCTGTCGATGGTTACTGCCTCCCAGAGATGGACTCTTCTGTGTGAGAAATTATATCGATTGGTAATAGGATTCAAACAACATATGAAGTAATTACTCAAGTGGTCACACTGATCCTTAATATCCTTAAATGCAACAGAGGAGAATTCATCTCTGACTTCATAGAAGAGAACTGAAAGTCATGTGATCAGATTGACCTGGCCTGTGATTTATGCTCTCCTGCCACAGAGTCATGGGAACAGAAATCTGACCAAAACAGAGACCATGAAATACAGCAGCCCAGTTATGTAATTAAAATAAAGTCAGCAGTGTAAGTGGTCTCATATCAAACCTTTAGTTAACAAGCCTTACATTGCATTCTGTGATATTTTTGTCTTATTCTCTCTGAACATTAGGAAAATTTGAACAAACCAAAGATGAGAGAGAATGTCTGAATCAAATGTCCCCCAAACCATCGTAGTATCACACACACGGTGGCAGAGAAAGCAGAGTGGTTGAAGTCCCTCAGAAACTACACTTGACAGCTGTGTCTACATTGATAAGAAGAATGGGTCCCCACCATGGAAACCCATAGCCTAAACGTCAATCATAAAAATCAAAGAATCAGATGTGGGAATTCCAGGGATGAAGAAGTGAATGAGCATCCAAAAAGGCCATCCCAGTCCCACAGACTGTCCTCAGCGGTAAGGAATTTCTAATAACAGCCAATCCTCAGACTCAATACTGCAGAGTGGTCATGGAAGGAAGGTATAGCTTGGTCTTTGAACAGAGGAGATGAGGTCATCTTTGTCACACTTTAACAGGGGTGATTCCTTTTTAGAGACCCCCAAGGGACTCAAATAATAAACAGACTACAAACATTATTTATCAAACAATATCTGTATGATTTCTTCAAGAATCCTGGATACTCATTTTCTAAGATTTATTCAAACCCATTTTTAGTGTTTTCAGCAAATGAAAGATATATAAAAACAGACATTCAATAGTCAGAGACATGGAAGAGCACATACTTAGTGTCAAGTCATTGAGAGGGTGTTTTTTTTCCCTTGGCCATTTTCTCCCTACAGGTATAATTCCTGTATGTTGGTTAAAGGTGTTAGAAAATCACTTTTCACAGACTTCACATAGGGATTGAGTGTATGTGCATGCTAACTGAGATAGGATCTGAGATCATACAGTGTTCTATGGACTCCATATGTGAATCCATCCCAGTCACAGTGTCTTTCCCTACCATCTCCAGCCTTTACAAAACAAGGACCTACACTGACACAGCATCACATCTCACAGTTCATGCTTGGTTGCATTTATTCCATAGAGCATTGATTGGGTTTTGAATAAACGCTGGGGTACTGCATAATCCCAAGGGTTCAGTGTCTTTTCTATCTCAGATAATTCATTTCACATGTTTCTCTAGCAGACATTCCCTCCCTATCACAAATATGAATGTCATGTGTTTAATATGTTTGCAAATGTGTGAGGAATGCATTGTGGCTGGTGTAAGCACCCTAGGCCAATTCTATGTTAAAGATTATGCAAACCTATATTGAGTTTAAAATAGTGTTTGAAATACCAGTGAGTTGATAAGACATCCTCCTGTGTTCCCTCAACTAGAAAGTAGAGGTTGACCAGAAGCTCAGGGAATCTTCCTTGTCAGGCCTCAGAATTGAATGGGAAGGGGACTCTGATTACTGGAAAGGTACCTGCCAAGTGGCTATAAGACAATTTAAAGTTTTGCCTGACACCTTTCTATTTTTAGACACAGTTTCATGTATTCCAAGCATAACCCAAGCATAAAATTTTCCTGCTTCCACAACTGTTTTATCGATGCAGTGGTGGAGGTGAACACAGAGCTTCAACCTTGAAAATATGATTTCTACCAACTGAGTCTGTCCACAGAATCATCAGTGACACTAAGCTATAAATGCCACGTTGTCCCTTATGTCATCTCAGACATCTGTACCATTTATTGTGTCATCTAAGGTCACATCCCTCAGCTTATGATAGAGCAGGAAGACATGCAAATTTTGTTCTCCTCTGCACATGAAAACCAGCCCTGACCCTACAGCTCTGACAGAGGTACCCAGATCTGGACTCACAGGTCCTCCCATTCTGTGGTCATCACTGAGCAGTCAACACTCAGCATGGAGATGAGACTGAGCTGGGTTTTCCTTGTTGCGCTTTTACAAGGTAATTTATTTGTAGTAAGAGATGCCTAGGGTGTGAGTGGTTGTGAGTGAAAGAAACAATGGATATTTGTGAGATTTATTGACAGGATTCTCTGTGTTTGCAGGTGTCCAATGTGAGGTGCAGCTGGTGGAGTCGGGGGGAGGCTTGATGCATCCTGGAAATTCCCTGAAACTCTCTTGTGCAGCCTCTGGATTCACCTTCAGTGGTTACTACATGCACTGGGTCCGCCAGGCTCCAGGGAAGGGGCTGGAGTGGATTGGTGTAATTGAACATAAATATAATAATTATGCAACAGATTATGCGGAGTCCGTGAAAGGCAGATTCACCATCTCAAGAGACGACTCCAAAAGCAGCCTCTACCTGCAAATCAACAGCTTAAGAGCCGAGGACACCGCCATTTATTACTGTGCTGCAGACACAGTGAGAGGACTTCAGTGTGAACCCTGACAAAAACCTCTCTCCCTGCAGGAGCGCTCAGGACCAGCAGGGGGCGCACTGTGCACATGTCAAACCAGCACATTGCAGGAACAGGTGCAGATGTAACAGAGTGTTCCTGGGTTCTCAGTCTCAGCTGGCACTCCATCTGATGTTTTCCCACAATGCTCTCTGCACTTGTTGTCTGTAAGGAAGGAAAAAACAGAGTTCTGTTTTCCCTCCATAAACACACACACACATGCACACGCACACGCACACGCACACATGCACGCAAGCACGCATGGAAACTCTCTCTCTCTCTCTCTCTCTCTCTCTCTCACACACACACACACACACACACACACACACACACACACACACACAGACACACACACACACCTCTCTCTCTCTCTCTCTCTCTCACACACACACACACACACACACACACACACACACACACACACACAGAGTCACACACACACACACACTTTCTAAATGAACTAAATGCTAAAAATCACCCCTGTCTACAGAAATGGCTGCTGATGTCACCAAGATCAAATGTTAGTGAAGGTCCTGGGTGTTGTTGAGGCTTCTGCCTGGTGTAATTCAGGGGAAATCCTAAATTCCTAAGATATTCTGACTAGGTCATTGTTTGTTATTACAGGAGTTCAGAGAAGGCACACTGTGTGACTGGACACCCTAACAGGTCTCACATATGTCTGTTTTCCTGAGAACTGTGCACCTCAGTAACAGAGCTGAGCCATTATCTGCTACTTAATGAATACCTTTCTTCCTCATCATATATCCTACTAGAGTTTGTTAACTAGAGTTTGTTCCTCTGGAACAACCTCTGACCTCAGTTCTCAACACTGATGGGAGCCGCTCACATTAGACTCAGCCGAGGCTCAGGCTGCAGTTCCTGTGCCCATTGGGGACGGTTGTAGGAAAATTGTCTGTCCCAGCTTTCCTGACTTTTTCTTCTGTGTTTTTCATAGAATCTTAAAAATTAAGAGAGTCTTGGTTAAACTGGGGATATGTCTGCTATGTCAAAATATTAATATTCTGTAGAATAACTATTTATGATGTTATTCCGTTCCTCCATCTTGAGCCAGTTTGTGGACCTTGACAGATAGATTTCCTGCTGAGCACTGAACTCTAGGACTCAGTGCCCTGGTCTCTGTGAGGTGAGTTGTC